ACATATACATACATACATACATACATACACACACATATATATATATATATATACATATATACACTATATACATTTATACATATAGGTAAATAAGCATAAGTATATATATGTATATATATATATATATATGTATATATATATATATATGCATATATATGTATATGTATATGAATATATATATTAATTCAATCGGGTATGCTCTCAACATCTTCAAGCCTCTCTGTCTCTATTCCCAGTCTGATCACAGCCTCCCTCTCACCTAGAATCATAGCTCGAGCCTCACTCTGCTCGAAAGTCGCCAATACACCAGATGCTTCGAAGAGCATCTGCACATCCGCCAGACTCAACACGAGCACGTTCAAGATGATATCAGTATCGCTTTTTTTCAAACACTCCAATGACCTTGCTTGTTGTAGTGCACTTATCTGCGCGCTGGTCAAGTTAACGGGCGTCGGCGCATCACTCAAGAGGTAATTATCTAAAAATTTATGCAGCTCAGCTACCAAGCACGGTGGCATAATTTCGCATAGGACCGAGGACACACTTGCGGTGCCGACCGAGGGTACAGCCTCTGAGCCGTGTGTGCTGAGCGTTTTTCCGTCGTTAACTGTTTCTTGTATATCGCGGTACTACTCCAATCACTTCGTGTCATGGGCACGGCGGGTTCGAACGTGCTGGCCTGGCTCTGACCGATATCTATCGAGAATGATATTGGGTCGCTATTTTGCTTCTGTCCATTTGCCTTGGCTTGACAAGCCTTGAGCGATTCACACAGGCGTAAACCATCGTGAAGAAAGAGTATGTTCCCCTCACAGTATCGTTCCCATGCCATCGCCAAAAGCGCGGGATACAGTCGGTCGTCGTCTATGATTGTCTGCAATCCCGTTCGTTCATTTCGCTTATTTATCTGAAAGCTCACGTTACCGTTGTTGTACTTCATTCGATTGTTCCGCTGCAGAAACTCAACAAAAGTCTGGTACACTGTAGGTCCGATCAGCTCCCCATTCAATACCCAAACAACCACCATGACGGCATTGAACTGGTCTATGGCTAGGGCTGAATGGTCTAGATTGACAAGCGCGGAAGCAACATTGACGACTGCTATTAAGGAGAGCCCGCATGCGGACAATAAATCGCCATACTGATCACGCAGCAATTTTGTTTTCCTCAATCTAAAACAATAGTACATCATTTCAATGATCGCCATCAGGAGCAGCAGTCTCAGGACTAATCCCGGGATATAAAAGTACTGATCTGGTATGTAAATGGCAAACACGCAAAAATTCGGAATCATTGAGGCGATGTTAACGCGGATCACGGTATTGCTGTACTTTGCATCAAAGTCACCTTTGATGAATACTAGATACATTACCCTTAAGCGGGCTAATGGAGCGGATGCCATGTTCATGACACTGATGACTTCCAGATACAATGTAAGCGCACAAAGCAACTTCACGGACCCCAGCTCGACAAAATAGATTTTCTGTTTTACAAATCAAAAAGGCAACGTGTTCAGAACGATAGTCCTGTCTACTAACAAATATGACAGCTGAACTTCGTTTTCTACGTACACACATAAATAAATATGTATATGTGTATGTATGTATATGTATATTTGTATATATGTATGTATATGTATGTGTATATGTACATATCTATGTATATGTATCACTATATGTGCATACATGTACATAGACACATATATACTCATATATATATATACATATATATATATATAAATTTGAATATATATATATATATAAATTTATATATATTCATATATATATTCACACACATATATATATATAGAATATATATATATATACATACATACATATATATACATAAATATATATATATATATATAACATATATATATATGTATAAATAAATAAATATATTTATATTGTTTCAACTCAGAGAAAGCGTTAAACGCACAAATGAAGCAGTGATAATTAGGATGGGGAAATTTTACAAATCCTCTATATATATATATACAATATTATAATATATATCTGCTTGGGTTTGTGTGCGTGAATGTGTGTGCCTGTGTAGGTACACAAATATACATATATATATACATATATATATATATATATATATGGTCAACATATATAAATACATACAAATACAAACAC